CACTATAGAAAAAACCCCCAAAAAAAAAAAAAAAAAAAAAAAAGAATTTGTGTACAGAAACGCATCTGGCATAATTTCAAGCTGCCAGGTCCAGAACTTGGAACTGCAGTTGGCCATGTGGGAGTCTAGCATCTTAACCATCATGCCACCTGCTGGTCCCTGACACAGTCAAATTCTTCGAAACGGAAAGTAGAATGGTGGTGGCCAGTAGCCAGAGGGAGCAGAATGGGGAATTATTTAATGGAACAGAGAGTGTTACAAGATGAAGAGTTTTGAAGCCTGGCTGCACAACCGTGAGAATGTACTTAAAACCATCACGCACCACATTTACAAACTGTCCAGGTGGTGAATTTACCGTTATGTCTATTTTACTCCAGTGGATGACCATATACATGTGCACAGGCACTCTCAGTACAGCTCAAGAGAACGGCAAGAGAAAAGAACCTTAGCAGACACCAACGAGGAGGATTTCGCCACGATTTCACAAGCCTTACGGAATTTCCCAATAGTCTCATTCCTGTGGGATCCTTGAAAGTGTTAGCTGTCAAACCCTGTTCTCCCAAGCACCCCTTCCCTTTGGCCTGCTATTTAGAAGTAGGTTATGTAAAATCTTCAAGAGGACAGGATTAGGACAAGGAGCTGGGATCTGTCTTTAGCAATATGACCTCGGGAGGTGGCCTACCCTCTTTCATCTCCTGTTTCCTTATCTGCAGGGTCTTTGTGATGCTTGCGCAGGACAACCCATGCAACATCCTCAGCTCTGGCCTCGTATGCAGTTCAGGCGTCAGAAACGTAAGCCGGCATTGCTGCGGTGGGCGTGATTACACCTTACCTGCACATCATACAGGAACTGGAAACGGCTTCTCTTGCTTGCAGCCTCTCTCACAGCCCGGGCCAAGTCCACAGACCCTTTGCCACCAACCGACCAGTGATAGCAGGGGACGGCGTCGAAGGCACCAGCCCGCTTCGCAAGCTCACACACCAAGTCGATCTCGGCGCGGGTGTCCGTCCTAGTGAAGAAAATGTTTGTGGTTTTCCATCTGTCTTCATTTAGTGGTGTTTTTAAAGAAAGACAAACCATTTATACAGAACTTCGCTCCCTAACACTGAATACATCTGAAACATCAAAAGTGGTCACATCGTGTTTAAATAAATCAGACGTAAAGAAAACCATGGGGAGAAAAATCCTCTCCAAGGCAACTCAACTATTTCAAGTTGCTAAAGGTTTTATCGAGAAAATTCCATAACATATCCCTTTGATCATTTTAGACAGAAATGCTGGGTAGATTTTTTTAAAAAAAGTCAGAAAATGGAAATTCACTATGTACATTTCATTTCCCAAGACCATTTTAAGAATATGCTTGCTAAAGCGAAACCAAACTGAACAGAGAGACCGACTGCTACTGCACAGGTTCAGACGAAGCAGAGAAAGACCACGTGCCATGAAGGCACAAACAGAGTTCACAGGGTGGCCCGGCGAACAACCACATTTAAAGTAGAAGATTTCACTTACTTAAAGACATTCAGTGCCACCACGACAGGAACCCCGAAGAGCTGAGCGATCTGAATTTGCTTCTGGAGGTTGCAGCAGCCATCGGCCACCAGCTGGATGTTCTGTTAAAATAAAACCCAAACAGAACCCTGAGTTCCCTCCCAGTAAATGTGCCACACTAAACTGGCAGCCCTACTCGGCCAGACTTCATTTATGTCCATAGTTCCTCACTTCATAGTCCTAGCAGCATCTGAAAAAGATCACTGATCCCTTTTTCTTCCAAGAAAGATGGTTGCAGAAGGAGGCTCACTTGCTCAATAATTTCCAAAAGTATTCTGGGTGCAACGGCATATGTAGGTCTTGAGGCTGGCAGCTGGTTCTGTTGCTGAGGCTGCCAGGACCAAGGCCACCAAGAGGCTGTAGTTGGTGGACAAAAGGCACAAGCTCGGATGGTGAGGAGCCTTGTCCACAGCCTGGGGGCGGGTGGTCCAAATTCCTGGCGCCACCTGTCGGAACTAAAAGGTACTGCTGCCTGCACAGCCAAGTCTATTTACACATTATAAAGCCCACCCTATATCCTTCCAAAGGCAGTTTTTTCCTATACCAGAGAAACACATGGGATAAACTTTGTTTCTGTTTCTCTCCTGGAGACCTTGAGCTATGGCTCTGATGTTGCCCTGTGGCTAGGGGACAGTAGATAAAGTCAACATTCATCTTTTCTTGAGATTTAAATGAATTGAATGGACTTTCTGGAGATTTTTTGCTATTGGGTAAAAAATCCAGTGTACGCTCACTGGAGAGACAGAGAGAGAAAGTGAGGGGACGACAACGCTACAATCCCCTCTCCTCCATTCTCTCGGGATCTTGGGCACACCCACGTGTGTGCCTAGTGTGCTTTAGGTTGCTGGGTCTGGGAACTGTTGTCGACTATATGGGAGTCCAGCGACATCACCACTATGCCATCTGCTCATCCCTTCTCTTGGATTCTTAGAAAAGTACTTTTCTTTTATTCATTCTTTTTCTCCCCCTTCCTTTTTACTGAGAGAGAGAATCCCCCAATGGAGCACGGTCATGTCGTAATACTTTTCCCTCTATTTCCCTCTAATCCCCATTAGGATTTGGGGCATGTATACACACATGTCCGCCATGTTTTTCAAGCTGATGGGGGCTGGGCTGGGATTTAGGCCGGGGTTCAAACTACATTTGGCCTTTTAGGATCCAGTTCTCCATGTACACTGCTTAACTGCTGTGCTAGGGGCCAGCCCTGGGGAAGAACTCTCCTAAGAGGCCACTGGCGGAGAGAAATTTACTGGTTGAGTGTCAACTGCAAGCCAAAGACTACATAGACGTGGACGATTCTTCCCACTGTGTCTAAACAGGCCCTCTCACCTCCTCTGTGTACTCCTTCTTCAGAGGGACACCAGCAGTTACCTGCAATAGGAAGAGACAAAGATTAAGAATCCCATAAAAATGCTTACTCAAGATGATGAAGTTCTGAAAGAAAAAGATATCATGGGTCACTTCTCAAGAAGGTAGGCCTGCGTTTGTGTTTTTAAACTGGGAGCTGGCAGTGTTGGCTAAACATGAAGTCTTGAGGAAAGCTTTTGATGCCTGAGTTCCACCCAGACCGATGAAGTCAGGATTTCTGAGAATGGGAGCCAGGATCAGGGATGTTAAAGGACTGTCCTGGTGCCTCTACTTTGAGCTAACGTTGAGAAGGCTCATACTGTTGCCCATTAGCCTCACATGAAATGGAACTAATCACATGTTTAATGCCTGATTCATAGATGGTATCACCATTCCAAATCACTTTGAAGTAACGGCCATCATTTTCCTTTTCTATCTAGTTTCTCACAATACCCTATGGAGCTGGCAGGGCAGAGGCTGAAAGAAGGCAGGGGTCCTGCCCAAGGTTACACAGCAAACGAGACGTAGGATGGGAACTTGAACGCAACAGAGTTCTGAAACTCCAACTTAGGACCTTCTCACACTTCCCCATTGCGTTTGTCTACAGCCTGTGAATGGTTTAGCTGAAAACTCTAGAGAACACTTTCATTCACCTAGGACATAGTAACTTTCTCTCCTCTCAGTGGAAGAGGCCTGGAAAGTACTAGAAATCCTTCAAAAAAAGTACTTCAGTGACACAATTGCTTTTTGATAATGTGTAGGAACAACAAAAAGTGTTTTCAGATGGACATTTCCAGCAAGAGTATAGACTAAAATAGAGAAAATCTTGCAAATGAAACAACCAAAATGTAGATTAAAAAAAAAAAAAAAACTCTAAACATTGTTGAGCGTGCACATCTGCCTAGTTTCTGCAGAATCCAAGAATTCAGCAAAAGTAGGAAGACTAGGTTATAAGCAAATGCAAAAATTAGAGAGTACAAGGAAACCCAAAACTTGGTTCTTTAAAAGACTAACAAAATTGACAAAACTTTGTAAAATTTAAAAGAAGAGAGAGAAAGAGAATGAAAAAGATTATCATACTGTAGACAGAATTAGTAGATTAACATGACCAAAATTTAAAGACATAGAGACAATATGAAATAGATGAATTCGAAGCTATGTGATCTTTATTAAAACTCATTTAAAAAATAGAAAAACCTAAACAGTCCTAATTCATTTAAAAACTTAAATTTGTACTTAAATCTACCCCCACCAGCAAGCAATAGGCCCAGACAGTTGTACACGTGAGTTCTTCCCAATCTTAGGTAACAAATTGTTCTATCGCTACACAAATCCTCATAGAGTGTACAGAAAGAAAGAATACACTCTAATTTACTTCATGTGGCCAAAATTTCATTCAAATAAGCATGAAAATCCTACTCCAAACATTAGGAAACCAATTAGTAAAATCTACTCATAAAAAGGGGAATATATGCACCAGCTGGGTTTGGTCTCAAAATGTAAGATTCACTTAGTATTTGAAAGTTATGCAATATATAATTAGCAGCATTAATAATAAAAGAGAAAGGGCAGCCCCAAAGTGCAGTGATTAAGCGATGTGCATGTGGAGCTGGGTCCCATACGGCCAACTTTGGTGCAAATTTTGGTCTCAGTGGCTTGAAAAACATATCAGACACAGGTGCATGTGTACCCCAAATCCTGATGAGGGGAAAGATAGAGGGAATATAACTGTGGTATGACCACACCCCACTGGAGGTGCTTCCTCTCTTTTTCTCTCTCCCTCTCTTCCTCTCTTGGTTGTCCCTCTCTCTCTGAGGAAAAAATGAATCGACTTAAAAAAAAAGTCAAGAGAAATTAAAAAATAAAAACAATTTAGATAGGTTACTACATATTAAAAAAATCTTTGAGGAACAGAAATAACCTGCTAAATTATTTAAAAATATAAGTCTATAAAAATACATACAAGGCTTTTAGGAAATAAACTGTAAGCCTTTATTACAAGGTTTTAAATATCTGATCAAGATAGAGATATACACTATCCTTAGAAAGCAGTCAAGTCTCCCCATATCATTAATAGATTTAATGCCATTCCAATAAAAATTGTAAAAACGTTTTTTTGTAAAACTTGATGAGCTAATCCTAAAACACATACATAAATGAAAAGGGTCAATTATAGGTCAGAAAAGCAAGAAAAAATAGAGGAAAGTGGGGGAGCATGCCTTATAGGGTATCAATGTATAATAGACATAGTTAAACATAAATAGACCAGAGCAACTAAAAGGAGATCCCAGAAAGAGATTTACACGTGTATGAAGAATTCATACATCACAAAGCAGGCTGGAAGATCAGAAAGAAAAAAGACCTATTTAAATAAATAGTGCTGGGTTAATTGCTTAATGTAGAATAATGAAATGAGATCTGACCATTGCGGCACATAGTAAAAGTCAGTAACCGTAAGCACGTTGATTCATTTTATGTGCCAGTATGGCTTGGTACCAAGACATTGGGCCAAACATTATCCTGGGTGATTCTGTGAGGGTATTTTGGTTGAGATGAACATGTAAGCTTTGGGCCTTATAAGGTGGGTGGGTCTCAGTTAATCAGTGGAAGGCCTGAATATAACAAAAAGACAGTCCACCTCTAAGCAAAGGAGAATTCTCTAGAAGACTGCCTCAGATTGAAACCGAACCACTCACTCTCCTGGTTCTCCAGACTATTGGCCCAATGTGCAGATCTTGGTCTCCACAACCAAGCGATTCAATTCTGAAATAATAATCTTCACATGCACACACACACACACACACACACACACACACACACTTTACTGATGCTTTTGTTTTTTTGATAAGCCTCATTAAACACAATGGATTTAAAGATGAAACGTATATGTTGACCCCAAAGTGGAGCAGAATATTAGTTCTTAGTTCTCATAGCGTACCAAGAATGGCGAGCATTTGGAAGACCAGAAATAAATTTACGACGACTGGGACTAAAAATGAGCAAGCAAGGGTCATAGGATTTTCCATTGCACGAATTATGGGAAAAAAACAAGCTGAATAAACATAAGCTGCCCGGGTTAAGTGTACAGTGGTAGCAAAAGGCAGTAGAAATTATGATGGATCCAAAACATCACCCCAGTGTTGTTTCAAGAAGGAGTGACAGCGAGATGGGTAATAAGGAATATAGGATTAAGAAGATGAAAGTTTACTATTCAATTATTGAAAACAGTTCAGGGGCCAGGTGGCAAAATGGTTATGTCACTGGACTCCCACACAGTCGGCCACAGTTCGAGTCCCGCACCTGGCGGCTTAAAACTCATGCCAGGTGTGTGTGCATGTGTGTCCGAGATCCTGAGAGGAGAATGGAGAAGGGATTTGCAGCGTGGCCACCACCCTCTGGGGGGTGATTTCTCTTTTTCTGTCTTTCTCTGTCTCTGATGAGCAATGTGCCCTATAGTAAAATTCTCTCCAAAAAAGGAAAGGAAAGGAAAGGAAAGGAAGGAAAAGAAAATAAAGCATTTCTTCAGTACAAACCCTGGAAGATACCAATTAAGACACAGTCCCTAACATCACAGAATTCAGAATTGAATGGGGAGGTAGACAAACAGACACTAGAAAACAACACGAGGCAGAAGGGCTACTCGAGCCCAGGAGAGGGATGCTTGGCTTTGCCGGGATTCCTGACTCCCCTGGATTATCCTCCATTATAACTGCCTATTAACCCTTAGCCTCGGTATAATCCGTCACCGGTGTAGAAGCCTGGCCTTAAGTGGAGGTGGAAGAGGCACAAAAAGATTAATGCGAGAAGAAAATGCAAACACTGTAAAACGGAGTGCATATATTAAAATGAAACGCAATAGGATCATAAATCATGGACAGAGGCCAGAGCCTGGAGAAACACTGAACTGGAAGTCAAAAGCCCTTGAGTTTAAGTCTCGGTGGTCCCCTAAGTAGAAGCGGGACATTATGTGAGCCATTGAATCTCTGTGTCTCAGAGTTTCTCTATAAAAAACCAAACCAGGGGTCAGCTGGTGATGTGATGGTAACGTGGTTGGATCTCAGTGGCCAGCAGTGAGGCCTGAATCCCACACTCGGGGGCCTGAAAAACACACTGGGCACATGTGCACTATGCCCGAAGTCTTGAAAGGAGGGACAAATGGAGACGGGATTGTGGCATAACTATGTCCCATAGAGGGGTGCTTTCTGAGTTCCTTTTTCTCACTTTTTGTCTCTGGTGCACTCGTGTGCCCTCTGACAAAAGTTGCAAACAAAACAATATGAAACGAAAAAAAAAAAAGAAAAAAAAGAAAGAAAGAAAAAAAAAACACCACCAAACCAGACTGAACAATCTCTAAACCGTTTCCAGTATGAAAGAAAGCCTTTTGATTTGATAATTTTCAGAATGGCATGTTAGGGAGGGCGAATTTTAATATGCTATAGTTTGAGTCCCGCCCTCCCCCCAAAGTCATGTTTCGGGACTTGGTTGCATTGTGAAGGTATCACGAGGTGTCTAGAGGAGGGGCTTTGGAGAGGAGACTAGGCTCAATGTCATCAGGTCAGGTCCACATGATGGAAGGCTGGGGGGTTCACAAGAGGAAGGACTGAGACCAGAACAGAGAGACCCAGGGCATAGCCACTCTGCTTGGCTCATGGCCTTGGGGTATCTGGGAATTTTGTAAGACCCCTGCCAGATATGGCCCTGGACCTTGGACTTGTAAGCTGAATAAACTTCAATTTTAATAAATCACTCTGCTTCAGGCATTTTCTATTAGCTATGAAATGGACTAGAACACTCTTAAGTAAGTAGAAATATATTTTGAAAGACTTTTATAGTCTGAAGTCCAGCAGTGACTGTAGAAATAACAGTTTTGAGCAAAATCAGAATTCCTTAAGATTTACTACCACATAATCCATACTGTGTCAATCCGACCTCTGAAATGATGATGAAGCTTTGAGCAAAAATGAAATGCTTCGGCACTTCCTATAACAAGCAGCTTTGAGATTTAGAACATTTTGATCTTTCATTAGAATTCAGCTCAGCAAAGTCAACCAATCCCTATCTTTGTCTGAGGTCTTCAGCTACAGATCTGGCTCTGGTTGCCTGGTGACACCATCCACATTCACTTCCTGACCTATAAAATGGTGTAAAGATAATGCCTCCCTCTTTCGGGACAAAGAATTGCTAAGATGATTAAAGGACATTACAGTGTTTCATGATGACAAGCCTATGTTTGTTTTTGCTATGTAATATTATTGGTTTCATAACTTTTGTGTTCACAGTACACCAGTTAAGAAATCAGACTTGGAGCCAGTGTGTGGCATGATGGTTAAGAACACTGGACTCCCACATGGCTGACCATGGTTCATGTCCCAGACCTGGTGGCTTACTTACTCACTTTCCCTCTTTCTCTCTCTCTCTCTAGCTCTGTCCCTCTCTGGTCAAATTAAAATAAATAAATAAATAAATAAAGTTAAATAAAATAATTCTTTAAAAAAAATCAGACTTGGCAATTTGTCTTAAATATCAATACCATACTGAGAGAGAAACTTCAAAGTGCTTTATTTTAAAATGATCCATCAGTATAAAATTTCTTATTCTCGATTTGGTGATTCCTAAAAATGAAAAATAAAACGAAACTATACATAATTGTCTATGGAAATGGAAAACTTCCATTCAGATGTCTGTAAATTCTATATGTATTAAAACAGGCAGATATCAAAAGGCTTATTTAAAAATGTTAAAAACAGTATGTTGACATTTCTCCCTATCCAGTCGATACAACTATAAGATATCTTCAACAGATAATACCACATTTCTTTGTCCCATTAATGCTTTGCCTTTGTATTTTTCTTCTAAATGTCCTTCCTCAGGCCTTACTCTTCCACACACACTGTATCTGGTACTTACACTTATTTACTGTGTTTCTATATCCTCAGTCAATCAGTTTCAGTCATAGAGTGTGGACACTCGATATATATCACGTGGGGACATACAATGTCTCTCCTTCATAGCTACACTCAAACAATGTGATCGAATGTATAAAATAAAATGAAAAAAAAAAGTATGAGTTTATTTTGGTGCAAGAAAAAAAAGTTAAAACAGAATGTGTGTTGTCCAATAAGGCTCACTTAGAAACCATCAAATGCTGGAGCAGAGTTAAGGTAAACAGCAATACATAGAAACAGAGGGGAAATCGTTTTGGATGAGATCTGATGAATTATAGCACACTGAATCTAAAAAAAAAACCAAACTGTACAAACATAGAAAAACTTCTGCCTCAAAGAAATGGTTCTAATCCACACGTTCTTCATTCAGGAACAAGAACTTCCACCTTCCAATTATCATGTGGTTATCAAATGTTGGCCAAGAATCGGTTACTAGTCTTAAGACTGAAAAGTGGTTATATTATGTACCTTTCCAAAATACTGTTTAGAAATAACTTGGGAGGTGTTGCTGTGTACTCAAATCTACTAAACTCAAAGTGCCTTACAATGGAGATTTGTTAAATAATAAAAAAAAAAGGTTTCAGAAGGGAAATATTTTAGAAAACTGTAGTCATTAAGCAGGCTTAATAGCTTTAAATGTGAAATGCTGCTTTATCTTTTTTTTTTTTTTTTTGGAGAGATTTTCACTATAGGGCATGTGCGCTCGCCAGACAGACAGAGAGAGACATAGAGACAGAAAGCGAGAAATCAGCCCCCAGGGGGAATGGTCACACCGCAATCCCTTCTCCTCCATTCTCCTTTCGGTATCTTGGGCACGCACGCACACGCGCCCGGCGTGAGTTTTAAGCCACCGGGTCTGGGACGCGAACCGCAGTCGACTACGTGAGAGTCCAGCAACATAGCAATTACGCTAACTGCTGATTCCCAAATGCTGTTTTATCTTTAAAAACATTTCTCTCTCTCTTTTTAAAAATTTGCTATAAGGCATGTGTGCTTGCAAGAGAGAGAGAGATAGAGAGAGAGAGAGAAGTAAAGTGAGAACCTCCCCTGGGTTGTGGGGGATGGCCAGACTGCAATCCTTACTCGTTCATTTTCCTCTGGGGATTTTTAGGCACGCCTGCACAAGAACCCAGCATGTCTTTCAAGCTGCCAGGTCTGGGACTTGAACTAAGAAGTAAGCCGTGCGGGATGCAGTCATCTTAAACACCATGTTATCTGGTTGGCCCAAGAACATTTCTTTTATTAGAAAGGAAACGTGAGGACTTACGCTGGGCCCGCCCCCGTGCATCTTCAAGGCTCGCACGGTCGCTACCAGCACCACCACATTTGGCACCAAGCCCGAAGCCCGGCACTTGATGTTGAAGAACTTCTCCATTCCGATATCAGCACCAAAGCCAGCTTCCGTCACTGCAGGAAGCAAGTCGGGAACGTGTTTAGAAACAACAGGTTATGCAGTCATTTTTACAGACAGCTTAACTCACTCACCACTTCTGGCTACGACACCGCAATGCATCATGGTCCTACATAGAGATAGGCACGCTGGTTTTCCATTGTCGTAGGAAATGCTCTATTTCATCACGTTCCCTGAGAGCACGGCTGTCTGCTCTTGTTTCACACTACCAGCCCTAAAGGATTGATTGCCAAGGCCAAGATTTTTCTTCAAGTACTATAATTCTAAACAAGGGCTTTCTTAATACAAATGGAATTTTCAACCTTGCAATCAGGTTTTAAATTGAATCAAAGAACAATGAGAACCTGATTGCAATAGAAGACCCTTTCTTTAAAGAATTATTTATTTTATTTATTATTATCATTGCTCAATTTGACTAGAGAGAGACAGAGAGAGAAAGGGAGAGTGAGAAAGCAAACTACCAGGTCCAGGACTTGAACACACCATGTGGGAGTCCATTGTCTCAACCACCATGCCACCTGCCGGTTCCTCCTTCTTATTCTTTACAACATAGGTAGAATCATTTAGTGCCACCTGGATACGTTTATTCATTGATAAAATTCAGTTTACTTTAGTGACAAAAAATTCTGATAGGTTGGATACAAGAATGAATCTGACTCCAGAATCACAGAAGATACTCATTTGTATACGTCCCCACCCGACTGCTGGAAACGTCACGGCACCCAACCCTGCCTTCTGGGATGCTAGACACCATGTCATTGACACCTTCATAAACAAAGGAGCTCTAGGATTTCACTACTTAAAATGTGACCCACTGCAACAGCAGCAGCACCTGAGAGCTTCTCAGAAATGCAGTACCTTGGGGGACCAGCAGTTAGCGTAATGGTTATGTCGCTGGACTCCCATGTAGTCAACCGTGGTTTGAGTCCTGGACCTGGTGGCTTAAATTCATGCTGGGCGTGTGCTCATGTGTACCCAAGATCCCAAGAAGAGAATGGAGAAGGTATTGCGGCATGGCCATCCCTCTTGTGGGGTGATTTCTTGCTTTCTGTCTCTCTGTCTTTCTGGTGAGTGTACACGCCCTATAGCCACCCCCCCCCCCCGTAAAAAAAAAAAAAAAAGAAAGAAAAAAGAAATGCAGTAACTTGGGCCATACCAGACTTTCTGAATCAGAGTAGGCTATTTTATTTTATTTCTGCCAGAGGGTGCATGAGATTACTAAAAGACAGAGAGAAAGAGGGACAGTGAGAAAACATTCCCACTCCTATGTGGAATGATCACACAGCAATACCCTCTCCACTTCTTGCATCTTTCAGGATTTTGGGCATACATGCACACATGCCCAGATTCCTCTCAAGCTGCCAGGTCTAAGACTCCAGCTGAACAGTCAGCCATGTAGGATCCAGCTACCTTAACTAATATATCATGGGCTGGCCCCAGAATAGGCTTTCTTTCTTTCTTTTCTTTCTTTCTCCCTTCCCTTCCCTTCCCTTCCCTTCCCTTCCCTTCCCTTCCCTTCCCTTCCCTTCCCTTCCCTTCCCTTCCCTTCCCTTCCCTTCCTCCCTACCTTACCTTTCCTTCCCTTCCCTTCCCTTCCCTTCCCTTCCCTTCCCTTCCCTTCCCTTCCCTTCCCTTCCCTCCCCTTCCTGGTGGGTCCAGAACTTGAACCACAGTCGACCATGTGGAAGTCTAGTGCCTTAACCACCATTCCACATGCTGGCTCCCAGAATAGGCCTTTTAATAAGATCCCTGAGTAAGATGAATGCCCATTAAAATGTAGGTCATGCACTGCTCTAGGAAAGGAGTACTAACTGGAATATAAAGGGAACACTTATGAAATATGCATAATGAGGGGGGTCCTCAAAAAAGTTCATGGAAAATATGTATTATGAAAAAACTATGGATGGATTTCAAAATATTTTTGCACAAAATAAACTTGTATTTTAAGTTCACTTTCCCATGAACTTGTCACCCCATATATGCTGAAAGCACAACCGAGATCACAATTCATGGTAGGAAGAGGAACTGACAATAAAATGTAGTGATTTGTTTTTTAAATCTGAATTTGAGGGGCCAGCAAGTGGCATGGTGGTTGGGGCTCTGGACTTCCACATGGCCACCTGTGGTTTGAGTGTTGGATGTAGCAACTTGCTTTCTCGCTTTCCCTCTCTCTCGTCAAATTAAATAATAATGACAAATAAAAAATTAAATAAAATGTTAATTTGAAAAAACAATGTTATTTGTCCCATGCAGCCACTAAATACATACATATTCACAAGAAGAAAGAGAATAATAATGGTACCATTTCACACATAATTTCAAACTCTAACTACATTGATTAATTCAAATTCTTTATGGTTTCCTCTTAGTACGTCACATGCCTATATAACTTCAGTTCCAGAATAGCTAGAACGTTGTAATCTGTTCTTTTCCTTTAAAATGATCCACTTTCTAGCTGTTCTTTCTAACTTTCAAAGTTTATGATTATAAGTGGCAGCTTATAACTCTGTTAAGTCGATGTACCAAGATTCACAAAATTGTTCCGTTATTGAACATTTGGATTGCTTCCAGTATAAACAGTGCTACATTGAAAATGTCTGTGCATCTGACCTTTAATCTCTTCATATTATATTCTTGAAATAAAATCCCAAGGGCAAAGTTATGGGGCCAGAGGATATAAAAAATATTTATGGCCGCTGCTATCTTCTGACAAATTAGGTATATTTCTTCAAAAATACGCAATTTGGAATGTATATAACTACAACCCACTTATCCTTCATTACATTTTCTTTGAGCAACCTACGTAGCAGAAGAACTTGAAGTAGTAAAAAGCATTTCTCTTTACATATTCTTTTTATATTTACATATCTGTAACAGTTCTCGTGACTTTTTTTAGCAGTGGCCAAAAACAGAGACAACTGGTTACAGGAACAAGTCTTATCTCGGTGGGCCCTCCGGTAAAGCTGTTCACTTTAGGATGCCGACTGCATAGTGAACCAAGAGAGGGACCCTTCAGCTGACTTTTGCCAAAGGTTGTAATAGAGGGCACTCCCAGTGGGGAAGGACGGACGGCAGGGCAACCGTCCTGGGCTACACACGACTGTCCTGCAGGTTAGTACCACACATGGGATCCTACATTCCTCCCAGCTGTACAACCTGGAAGAATCATTTAACCCGCTCAGTCTCAATGACCTCATTTGACTCGTTGGAAGGATTAAGTGAGAGAGCACACGTAAAGTACTGAGTTTTTTCATGCAGAGTGAGCGCTCACAAAAATGGCTGACATGATTATCACAAAAAAGATCATTGTTTCTCCCACTTGCTGGACATCATCTTCCATTCTTAAGCATCTGCTGAATTCCTGCTACGTCTAGGCATTTTCTCGGTGGAGGAGGTCCAGTCATTGGTCACTAGCCTCAAGCACTCTAGGGAAGAGGGGGAGACCACCTGTCACTCAACTAGGCAGAACTAGAGGTAGCACATTGGGAGGAAAGGGTCTGTCTGGGATGTGTGGGAAAAGGCGGCTGCAGAGTCAGGCTCTGAGGGACAAATGGGATTTTTCCAAGCAGGAAAATAAGGAGTTGAGTGATGGAAGGCGAGAGCATAAGGGGAGGAAAGAAGAATTCCATATATAAAGGTTAGGACAAGAGCAGACATGCAGAATTTTGGGCCCAGCACCAATGTGCCAAGATAAAGAGACATGATCTGTCATAAGAGAAGCCACATTTCAACCCATCAGACCTGCTCTGTGGCCTGATCAGGGTGAGGCAGCGAGGACTCAAGAAGCCAGCATTGAAAGAACATCACCATCCATATATATGTATATATGAAAAGAATATGTGTGAGCATACATATGAATGTAACATATATGTAATATCTGTATTTCACTACACTCCCCTGATAAGTCTAAACTTCACAAGCATGAAGACCATGTCTATTGGAGTAACACATCAAGACACATAGAAGGCACTGACTGAGCCATCATTCATTCATACGTGTGTGCACGTGTATGCATACACATGTGTGTGTGTGATAATGTTGGGACATTAGGAAAGTCATGGTGCATTTTTGCATAGAAAAATGCAGAAAACTATGTCATGACTTTTCCAAAGACCTTTATCTCCATGTTAAATAAAAAGGTAGTAGTGGAATAGAAACTTTTAAAACTTTTGCCAGAGGGCGACAACAACAATGACAACACATTACATTTGTAATCATTTAATCTCTTGAAAAGCTATAAACTACTGTATAATTTCATTTAAAACCCTAGCTCTTCTCAGGCTGGCTCCATGGCACAGTGGTAATGCACTGCTCAAGGGAAGCCAGATCCCACATGAGGATTGCAGTTAGACTCCCAGCCCAGTCAGCATGAAGCTCGCTGGCATGTGCATGAGTGCCTAAGGTCTGATGGCCTGGAGGGTTGGAGAAGGGGTTAATGGAGTGACTAAATGCCGTGGAGGAAGCTCATCGCTTTCTCTCTCTTTTCCTCTCTCTCTCTCTCATGACTGTGCACAGTCTCTATCAAGAATAAAGGAGGGATTGAGCCGGCCAGCAGTTCCGGACACCAGGCGGACTGAGGCTGCAGACCCGACCCTACTGAAGCTCCACGCATCCCCACCGTTCTTTTGGACCCCAGGTTGGTTGCCTTTGACTTTAAGGTGAACCCCCACCCCTCCCCACCCGAAACCTGGATCGAGCCGGCCAGCAGTTCCGGACACCAGGTGGACTGAGGCTGCAGGCCCGACCAACCTGGTACTGTCATTCATTGTCTGATCCCTTTCCACTAGGCTTTGGACTCTTTGAATTTTGGTGATTTGAGTAGCGCGCTTTCTTTTTCCATTTTGTTTTTCTTTGCTCTTGGGGTGTTGCTTATTTGGTCAGTTGAAGTCTCACCACTCCTTAGATACAGCGAGGACTTTCAGCCTTCCAGGGCTAGTGGCAACAGTTAATGGTAATTATGAGTAACAGGTAGGCCAACCATAAGATAAATCATCAA